TTTGCTTTGACGACAACAGAACGCTCACAGATGCAGAAAACAAGAAACAAAACGTCCTGATAAGGGCAGATCAGCCGAGGTTGAATGTGGAGTTTTACGGTGATGCAAGTTTGTCAAGTGTTCAGCCAGTGCCAAACAGTGAGCTGGAGTATTATGAAATCGGCAGCATCTGTAGTGAACTTCATTCAGACACTGCCTCACTGACGCTCAGCTGGCACAAGCATCTGTACAGCACAAAGTGTGTGAAAGTTGATCCGAAGCGGAGAGGAGATCTGAGGGGACTGTTAGCAGGATTTAAGAAAGAACACTCCAGTGAAGAGAGGGCAACATGTCAGACAAAGCCACAAGATGTTGCTTTCTTAAATAAGCAGTTGTTGACTAAGATCGATTTACAGTATGCACCACCATGTCACAAGAAGAGGTTGGTAGAACTAGAGTTCCTGGATCCTGTACAATGCCTCACTCTTGAAGAAATTAGTAAACTAAACACTCCTCAGGACAAAACCATGTCACATCGAGCATCCCTGAGGTCTGGACCTGCTAAGTCCCACACGTTGATCAATGGCTCTTCTGACAGTGAAACAGACAGCACATTCACCTGCTCGGAGTCTGAGTGTGGACAGTTTGCATGCAGCTTCAGACAACAAGGCATCCTACCTGTCAGCACATTCTTAAAGCACACCTGTCCCTCTGATGCAGGTCAGGATAAAGCTGAGAGTGCTCCCTCTAGTATGTTTGAGCAATGGGGAAATATTTTAAATATGCACCTTCCTTTTAGCAGCTTTGCTCCTGTATTTGAGGATATAGCATGTCTACCTACTGACCAAATGTATAGCTATGAAATGCAAAGTGACATAGAGGAAATTATTTGATGGCCATTATATAGGTGTCAACGATGGGTCAGGGGGAAAACGTAAGTATTTCTGCAGTATGTTATTCATTTACATTTTAGAAAACACATAACTCATTCATTCATAATGTTAATGAGGGTCATCAATGTCCTGAGTAAGTCAAACGTATTATTCATACATTTTGTAGCTGATTGACTGTATTGTCTTTTTGTAAGTAGCCTGGACATTATTTGTTGCATTAATTTGTTTACATCTCAGGTTCATGGCACTTGTTTAAACAACCCTGAAGTTACTTTGCTAACCACAAATCCTGCTTCGTAGTACAGGCATACTCTTTACATGATGTTGTAATGTGAGGTGCAGGTAATAAAACTGCACAATCGGAGAGGGTTTTCTTGGAAAAATAATAGGCCTGCTCCCCTTTGGAGCACTGGCACAAGATGGCTTCCAGGACTGAAACACAGGAAATGGTGATGACTTTCATGATTGTGTATCTTTTTTTAACATATTGTATAATTACGATTAATTTAAATACAGAGTATATTCATTTGCCTATGTACATTTATATGAGAAAACCTTAAATGAAATAAAGAGCTTTCTGAAGAAAAATGCCTACCTTTCTTTACAACAAAGGGCTTAGGCAAATGTTAGTAAGGGAGTTTGTGCTTACTCGCACATGGCTACCATCAAACCGAAGTATGGCCCCTGTGAGGTCCTACTGTGTCCACACAGCCTTGTTATCTCCTTGAGATATCAAGTAAATGTGTCCCTCACGCTATAATCATATTTGTCTATTACATTTGTAAAATGTCCCACTCACAGAAAAAGCATATTTTTCTCAAATAAGTTTTATGAAATAACCAGTCGTAGACCATTTAAGTCTAGAATAATTTTGGTAGCACTATACTGTATCACGGCAAAGTTATTGCACTTTTTCCATAAAATATTAACAAAAATGTGGCAAATACATATTTTCCTAAAACTATTTGTGTATTTTAACCAACGAGAGACCATACATGTGTGAAGTGGATTTGGTAGCACTGCATGGTACAACAGGGGAAGTATTTTTGGTAGAACTGTATTACAGGCAAATATTTTTGTATAATTTCGTTTCCCTGCGCACTTACCGTGAATATTTTCTCAACTTAAAGGGGACCTATCATGCAAAATGCACTTTTGTACGTCTTTTATACATGAATATGTGTCCCCGGTGTGTCAGGGAACTCACCAAGTGTCAGAAAACACAACCCTCTCTCTTTTCCTTCATACCCAAATCTCTAAAAACGGGGCTGCAACGGAGCTGATACAGATTTGAAATTGTTCTGACGTCAGAAACAGGGAGCTCCGCCTATATGGGCAACTCTCCCCAAGGGAATGGAGGGTTGGGCCACGGCCACGGCCATTGCCGCTCGAAAGCGCTGGAGACGCTGTAGTACATATGCCAGGCCTGTAAGTGGCGCTGTAGTCTGCCACAAAAGCAGCGAAGAAGACTTCTCACAGAATCAGCCTTTGCAAAAACAGGGCTGGAAAAGAGCAAATAGAGCGAAATGAGGCATGGCTAAAAACTTCACAGACATGTTTTATATAGGTATGGCCCTACAATATATTATTCAAATATAGCATAATAGGTCCACTTTAACCGAAATAGGAAAGCCCTCATCCCGCCCTCTACGCTAGTCTTATCAACATAGGCTCTGAGAGGGCATTACAGCCTGTCTCAACGACTCTCTCTTGTAATTCCAAAGATATCTTAAAAGCTTTATCTATCATCAGGTGTCTTTTACCAGACGAGGGCTTTTGTTTTGAAATTACGTCCGAGAGTTCCGCCCTCCCCTCGCTCAAACATATAATGTTGGTCATTTATAAGGAAAAAGCAAAACATTTAATAATAATTATTGCGGAGACGAAGTTAAACTGAGTCAGCTCTGCAGTGTTTTTGTTTAATTGAGATTGTGTTGTGACATTTCGTGGCTTGTGAAAAGAAAAGTGGACTTCCTTGGAGACATCGCTGATGGACACAATAATTAATCACAGAATAATTAATCACACAACTGAGATTTCCCCCACACACTAGATTGCTTTAATGTGGAAGCCTGTTTGCGCCACAGGAAAAAAAAAAAAATATATATATATATTTTTTATTGAAACAATTATGTCAAATACAGAATAAGGCACATAGACATCAATGTTCATCATATAAGCGGTAAAACTTTATATTAAAGTACACAAATTCACCATCAACTAGTTGTTCATTAACATGCATATTAGCAGTATATTGGCTCTTTATTAGTCATTATAAAACACTTATTAATGCCTTATTCTACATGATCCTATTCCACAAGTAATCTGTGTATGTTACACTTGCATGTATGAGATCATTAAGTGCCTTGTAACTTCTTTTTTTATAGTTTCACTCCGTTTGAATGTCATAGGACTGCAAATAAGTCAATACAGGAGCATGGCTGCTCATTCCCTGGCTCTCAAAAGAGTTTGGCTGGCTGTTTAATCTATGTTCACACTGAGACAGGACAACACATAGAGAGAACAGTACACCTATTGTGTAAGTACATACAAGCAGGTCCCACAGTATGATCACAAATACATACAATCTGTTAAAAATCTGTTTTTATTAAAACGTACAGGCTGCATTTGTGTTCTCAGCCTTGGAGAAACTTGACATGTTTTGGTATGTGTCTGTATCTCTCTTTAGTGGTTCATTAATAAAACAGATATTTCAACGTGAGCCTACTTTGTTCATGTACTGTTGAGGTTAATTTCAGTAGTTGTGTGCTATAATATATTTACAAAGTGTGAAGAGGAGGCAACTTTAGAATAGGGAACCTGTTCAGGTCAATTAGAGTCAAACTACTAGCTTATTGGTTATGAACAAGACTTCACTTTAAAATAGGGAACACATTCTTAGATAGAAATACCTAATTTTGAGTTATTTAGACATATTGAGCAGAGCATATTAAGACCAAAACTCATGTACAACAACTTCCTTACTTGCAATAAATAAGGACTAATTAGAGGGTTATTGAGGAAAAACTCTCAACTAATGGCTTATTACTTGTAGAATATGGTCATGTAGAATAAGGCATTAATAAGTGTTTTATAATGACTAATAAAGAGCCAATATACTGCTAATATGCATGTTAATTAACAACTAGTTGATGGTTAATTTGTGTACCTTAATATAAAGTTTTACCGCTTATATGATGAAAATTGATGTCAATGTGCCTTATTCTGTATTTGACATAATTGTTTCAAAAAAAAAAAAAAACGCTAAGTCATTATAATGAGATAGCTAAGTCATTATAATGAGATAGCTAAGTCAATATAATGAGATAGCTTAGTCATTATAATGAGATAGTAAGTCATAATAATGAGATAGCTAAGTCATTATAATGACTTACAGGATATTTTATTTTTCTTCCCTGTGGCGCAAACAGGCTTCCATACTTTAATGATGAGGGTATATACTAAACGCCACTATTATTTTGCTTTATAATGAAATAAAGTTGTACATACATTTTTTATTAAATAGCGACACAACCTGGACCATTCAGGTGACATGAGGGTCTTGGGCCCTCTGGCTGTAGGCAGTTCTGGTAATGTACCCCTTGCACATCACACTGTGGCTTACCAAGGGATCCCTTGAATAATGTTGAGCTTTAGCTAATATTAATAAGTATATATTTTTGAAAGCCTGGTCTTACCAAATCAACACATTTCCTAAATCATCAATCAAGTATGACACTACACCTTTGTTTAATAACTCCTCACAAATGCTTCTAGTTAGCATAGGAGAAGCTATTCAGAAGCCTTCAAATATAAATGAAAATAAGCCTTTTTATTTGGGGTGTTCTTTATTTTTAAAGTATCAGTCACAACAAAGTGCAGCAATTGTTAAGTACTTACTTTTTATATTTCAAGTGAGTACTATTTAGTTATTAATATAATCCAAACTGCAAACTACAGTAATGAAGCAAGCACCAATAAAACAATTAAAACCTTTAATATGTATTTCTTATTATTATACAATTGTATTTTTAAAAGTAATATCTATTTTTGTTGCACAGTCACATTTCTTGCAAATACGGCCACACTTTTAGAGCAGACTACTGAGGCATCAGTATGCTATTAGAATTAAACTTTTATATCTATTCCAATCCTAGTTTTGTTCAGCTTCTTTATCAAAGTCTGCTTGATATCCTGAGTTTTAAAACAATATATCATTGGATTAACAGCAGCAGGTAAAAGACTGTACAACAAGACTAATAAAATACGGACGTCCAAACTGAAAGAAAACCCAACAGTATTGGCTACATAGACAAAACACCTGGGAAGGTAAAAAAGGCAAGTGATAAATATTTGTGGGGAACAAGTAGATAAGGTTCTTTTGCGACCGGCAGCATTGGACATTTTCAGAATAACCACAATAATGGAAATGTATGAAAACAAGATGAATGCAAGAGGTAGCAAGAGACAAAACATGGCCAAACAGAGGGTAGTGACTTGTACAATTGTAACCTCCCTACCACATGCCTGACTTGTTATAGAAATGTGGTCACAGAAGCACTGAGTGATGACATTTGATTTACAGTAAGGTAAAGTGAGGGCTTGGAGTACAACGGTCACCATTAGAGGCAGAGGGATGAACCAGGCAAGGCCACAGAGCACAGATATGGTGTTGTTTGTGATAAAGACAGGATAACGCATCGGAAGACATATTGCAATAAATCGATCGATGGCCATTACCAACAAGTTGAAAGAAGTAACTGACCCTAAATAGTGAACATAGAACATTTGTATAAAGCAACCGTAAAATGAAATAATGCTATCACCAAACCAATATTTTGATATGATCTTTGGAAGAGTCACAGTGCCAAATGTTAAGTCATTCAGTGCCAGGTGACAAAAGACCAGATATGTTGGTTTTTGAAGGGACTTTTCATAGATCACAAATGCTAAAATGAAAATATTTCCTATTGCAATAGCTAGGTAGGTGAAAAAGAGCAGAGCTGACACAGGTCCATAATACATTGGTAGAAGTCCAGGAAATCCAAGGATTAAAAAGTCTCTCATCTCTGTTACATTGGTGTAGATCATTTTCACCTATTTCACAATCAGCAGTTTACACGTGGATCAGCAAGACAAAGAAAGGTATTAGTCTCATAATTGATAGGATTAATCAGCACACTCATTTTGATTTTGACATTTGATTAAAGTTATATCATTTTCATCTTTTCAAGTTAAAGCTCCTTTAATACAAAAATGTAATCGCTTTTTGCTCTCATACAATTGTAATGTGAATAGAATTGATTGAGAATAGTGTAAATGATATACATTTTATACAAATATTTGATATCAGATGATTGCAATAATTAATACAATAAAAAATAAATAATTTAAGATTTTAAATAGTTACATATAAAGTTATTCCCTCCTCTTTCTATCTGACAAAAATAAATCAGGACAACAATTTTCCAATCGAAAAGCTATTTGATATTATTTGAAAAGTTTTGACAAAGGCATACTGTATATTTCGTTTTCCACCATTTCAATCAATAGGTTATCAGTCAACTTTATAGTATATAAAAGTAAATAAAGATTTCCAATTAATATAAAACAGGTTTTGTGATTTATATTGTGGCGTCCAGCTCAGAGTCTTACCTTTCAGATGCAGGCCAACAACTAAACACTGAGAGCGATGCCTGGGTGAATTTAATATCTGCTCTGTGTGCTGTGTGACCATGCATATCCTCAATGGGGCATATCTGCAATCTAATCTCTAGGGTACAAACAGCATGATGGAAACTTCTTCCTTATGAATATCAATGATTCATGTGAAACATGCATAAAGGTGAAAACAAATGTATAATTATTACCAACATTAAAATAGATGAAAATACATTTAGAAAGGCACACTTAAGCTAAATTCAGCCTGGTTGCTGAACCGTTAAACAGTAAGAAAGAATATCATGGCATATCTTTAACAAAAGTTCATCACTAATATTTTCTTACCTTTCATTACTACACCTTCTAGTATGCCAGGTATTTAGGAAGCTCATGTTACAATAGAACCCAACTTAAAGTAGGATATTATAATTATGTGTAAATGACGGCATCTTTTCTTCTCCCTTAGACGTTTGCATGTGCAAACACTTTTTAAAGTTCTGTACAAATGTGGTTTCACTGAAGCACCTAGTACTGTACATTTTGAAAAACTCTCTGTTGGCAGCCCCTAGTGGAACTATAAAAAAACCCACAGAAAAGCAACAAAACCTCTCGACCATACAACTTGGCTTAATATAAGTTTTATTTTAAAGGTGCCAATGGCGCAATAAAAAAAAAAATCACTTTTAAATTAAAATTGACCGCACTACTGCTACTGTTTTTATACACTATTTATGTAGTGGATATACATATATATATACAGTTTTGTTTGTGTAGCAACGTCATCATACAGAATCCAATTTCAGGTCATGTTGGCAAAAGGTTTTTTTAAGGGCTTGAATAAAACATACCTACTTTTAGCCAACATTTGGATGAATGAGAGACACACTGGAAGGCTACAGACTAAAACCAAAACCTATAAAACCATTAAAATGATGGACCCGCATTATTTAATTTGATTCTAAAGATATGCTTTCGGCAAACTGTATTTTTGCATTTCACTTTCCTCTGTCAGATGGACACAGTTCCCACATTATGTTGCTTTATCAGAAACTGGCCCAACATTCCTTATGTGTGCTCAGATATTTTGATCCGACATCATAGTGATGAAAATATAATTGAAATGTTATTTGCATATTTTAATCAGGTCCATTGAAATATATCAAAAAGCGTAAGAAACATTCAGTGAAAATAAATCAAAAGTTAGGCCCTCTACTCATTTGTATATCATTTTATTTTATTTGAATGCCACATATATCATGTTACTTTCTAATGTTACTTTTTATGTGCAGAAGTATGTGCAGAAATGCATAAAAACTGCATTTTAATGTATTTAGCAGAGGGGCAAAATGTGTAATAAGTTCATATAACAATCAAGCCACAGCACCATACAGGGAATGTGTTGCTTAAACTTGCAATCTCAATAATAACAGAATCAATATAATATAGATTAACACACATCTTTCATTAGAATTACAACAATATTGGTGGATTTCTATGCAAATATGAAGACACTGTATGCATTACTTTAAAGTTGACTTAACTCCAATTTTAACATGTTTTAATCCCTTCATCACAATATCTTTAATTTCTCTGGTTTTGAAGCAATAAATGAGTGGGTTAACAGCACAAGGAATAAGGCTATACAACAATATCAATAAAATGCGGATGTCAGAGCTGAAAGAGAAACCTGTAAAATTAGCAAGATAAACAAAACATCTTGGTAGGTAATACAGGCAACAAATCAATAACTGTGGTGTGCACGTTGATAAAGCTCTGTATCGTCCCCTGGTGTTTGCTATTCTCAAAACAACTGCAAAGATGAATATATAGGAAACGATGATAAACGAAAGTGGAGGCAAAAGACTAAACATTGCAAGACTGAAAGCAACACTCTGAACATATTTTACATTTTCATCACATCCCAGTTTTGTAATTGAAATGAGATCACAATAACATTGCACAATGATGTTAGAATCACAATAAGGCAAGGTTAGAGTATGATATACAACTGCCATCATCCTGATAAATGTCCCAATCCAGAACAACCCACAAGCCAGAGTAATAATGTTGTTTGTGATTAGAACAGGGTATCTTAATGGGAAAACAACTGCAATAAAACGATCGAGGGCCTTTATTAGCAGAAGGAGAGAATGAATTGCTCCTAAGGAATGATCAAAAAACATCTGAGTGAAGCAGGCTGCAAAAGATATCATCTTGTCATCCCAAAAATATCTTGATATCATTTATGGTAATGTCACTGTCCCAAATAACAAATCATTCATTGCCAAATGCCAGAAGAATAGATATGTTAGCTTGTAAAGATCCCTCCTGACCCCAACGAGAACTACAATAAAAGTATTTCCAACAACAATAGCCAAGTAGGTGAAGAACATAAGAGTAGACACAGCTCCGTAATATTTTGGGTCAAGTCCTGGAAACCCAAGTATCATGAAGTCCTTCACTGTTGTTATGTTTCTATAAATCATTGTAAGTAATCTGTAAAAATGCTGCGTTAAATGTTCTCTAAAAAGGAAATTGCAAGTTCAAATCATCATCAAACATCATTCAGACATTATCTATAGGTAGTCTTTAGGATCCAGCTGTTTTTGTTATTACCTTAGAGGTAAATCCCAGTCGGATGCAGTTCATCCGAGTCAAAGCAGAAGTCTGCACGCTGTATTATGAGGGCTCCGCAGTGAGTGACATAATGACTTGGCCAACCCACATATGACATGTCCTTTGTAAAATGTGTGCACCAAGCAGAGCTTACCTCATTAATATTACCTTGCTTATCACTATGTCTTAATTACATCTTTGTATTATGACTAGCAGTACATATTAGTTTGTGACTATTAAACCAGAAACAAATCCACATGTTTTCTTAAATATAACCAAATACAAATTGCGGATACTGTGCAGAACCAGTATTAATATTGCAGATATTGTTTTGCTTTTACAAATACAGATCATGGTGTGGATAGTAGTAATTAAACCAGTTATGCCAAGCATATTTTTTATTCAATCCAATTAAAAAACTTCTTTTAATAATAATACAATAATTTATTTCCTTATCCTGACAATTTAAAATGTAAGTAGTACGTTTATTAGATTTTCAAATGTTAATCACAAATCACATCATGCTTTCTAATCTTTAATTTTTAGCAAAAAATTGAAAATGTGTATTGTTCCCTTGCTGTACAGTGTGTGGGCATAACCTGTAGTTGTTCCCTTTTTTAGTCATCTCAAAATATATCTATCACTGGTATAAGGATACAATATATCGGTCCATCACATAATGTACATACATTGAGCTATGCAATATCACTCATTTTCAAATCTAATTCATCAGGTGAGAATAAAATTAAGGAAGACAATGATTCTAAGGTGAAAAGGGAAAAAAGTCCTAATAGTCTTACAAATAGTAAGTGGGCTTCAAGGGAACACCAGTAAAATGACGAGTACAAATATATTTTATTGTAAGAACATGACATTAAAAAACATCTATATGAATTAGATCTATTATATGGTGTACAATGAAAGCATGAAAAGTATAAATTGATCTCACAGAAAATAGATTATCTATGATTGTTAACATCCACCATAGAATAACATACACATTTACTGTCTATATAATATTATAAAATGCATACACAAATGTAAACTATACGCTTATCATGCTTTATGTCATTACCTTTGACCAAATGATGCAGCTGTATTCTTATCAAGCCTTTGATCTGTTTGCTATAATGCTTAAACTCAACCTTTAATTAAAAAAAAAACACTATTTCTAATTCAAGTAATATTCTAACATGTTTTAAACAAAACAATTTTCACCTAACAAAAAGAAAAAAACTCATATTGATAAGGGGAACATTTTTAATTGATCAAAGATGCAAATATTGTACATTTTTAGCTTTCAATTTGTCCTTATCAGTAAGTAACTATTCCGGTCCCAAATAGAAAGATGGCTCATTCAAATACAAAATTAAAACATTGAATATTATCATCAGTCACTAATAGCTGAAATGTGTGCTTTTTTAAGAACTGCTCTTCTTTTGAATTGTTTCCTCAAGCTTTCTCTCATGTCTTTAGCTCTTAAGCAGTATATAAGTGGATTAATCATCGGGGGGCAAAGGCTATACATCATGATAATTAATATTCGCACATCAGCACTAAACGTAATGCCAACATTGCTGGCCAAATATACAAAACATCTGGGTAAATAATAGAGCGAGATTATGATCAGTTGAGTACTGCAAGTGGACAGAGACTTGATGCGACCTTGCACATTTGCAATCTTAAGTACTGCTATAATTATACAGCAATATGAGAACACGATGAATGCCAGAGGTCCCAGTAACATAACCATTGCAAACACAAAAGCAGGAAAACCATAAGGGGCCCGGTCAGTGCATGCTAGGATTGTTATA